TGTATATTTCTGCAGTATCCATTCTAAGTAGTGCTAACACATTCTGCAAGGATAACAGGAAAACACAGACTCCCCCTAAAATAAGACCATGACGACAATATGCAATAAAAATGTTTTAACCAAGCCACCATGTAACAAGGTAATAACTAACCAAGTCAGGGGGCAGTACTAAATTTTTATACCCTGATACTAACAAGTTCTCTCAGAGGGAGTCTCTTTGTATGGATCAGGTAGGAACAGAAAAGTCCTGCCGTTCCCTGAGCTGGTCCATTTTTATGGACATATATGTATTAGTATTCTGGGAAAGACAGTAGGATACTAGTACCATGATTCACTGACAATAGATGTGGCTGGGTGTCTTCGTTCTTTAAGGATAGGTCTACACAGCAACATTATTTCAAAATAAAGTCCACGCCTACACAGCTGGCAGATATTTCAACATAATGTCAAAATTCTGTCACGCTAGAGGACTTCTTACTCTGACTCACAGCCCTCATTTTAGGAGTAAGAGAAGTTGGAGAGAGTGCTCTGTTTTGAAATTAGTGCTGTATAGAAAGCACCAAAACTTGAAATAGGCGATTTTGAAATAAGCTACACAATTGACGTAGCTCAATTTTGAGTTTGGGCGTGTCTGCACAGCAGGGCTTAACGGAGCTTCAGGTCATTAGGTGGTTTGCTCAAAGGCTATGACACACACACACACACACACACACACTTTCATTTACGCTTTTGCACTGAATTGGTTGTCATGCAATGGTAGGTATAGCTGTCTTGCTAAGGGCATACATTGTATAAGAAGTGATCTTTGTTCTGGATGAGGCACCACAAAAATACAGGCCAATGAATGTATTAGCTATTGCCTGGTGTAAGGCTTCATGTTTGCATGTGTTTTGACATAAAAAGTGAGATTCAAAAGACTAGGACGCTTTGAGATGTTCATATAATTCTTATGATCTAGATACTGAAACCTGAAGTGAAAAAATATTGCAGCCTTTAGACTGTAGTGCTGTTCCAGGATACCGGCAGTATCCCAAAATAGCATATCTTTAAATGCTCCCACTATTTACCAAAATAGTGGGCATGCTATTCTGGCGTCCTTGCAACTCTCGTTCCACAAAGGTTAAGGGATTTGTTGGAATAGTGCCTTATTTTGAAATTTGGCATGGTTTACACAGTGCCAAATTTCAAAATAGATTCGGAATAAGCTTATTTTGAAATTTGGCACTGTGTAAACAGCGCCAAGTTTCAAAATAAGCTTATTCCGAATCTAAGTAGAAAGAGCTACGCAATTTGCATAGCGCAAATTGCGTAACTTATTCCAACAATAGAGTGTGGTGTAGATGCACCCTTAATGTCACAGAAGCTTTGAGCAAAGTGACTTTACAGAGCAGTACGAAGGCCTCAGAGGTTAAGAAAGCTCTAGGGTTCAGGGAGACGTGTACAAATCTGAAGCTAGAACTTCTGCAGAAAAGAAGTTATGGTTTTATCTACTGGTATCAGAGCAAAATCGAAACTAGAACATGGTATGTTAGCATTTTGAAATCCTGAGTGATCAAATTAATTATTTAATGCAGTAAGTATGTCTACACAGCAGGGATAAAGCTGAAATAAGCTACACAACTTAAGCTACGCAATTGACATAGCTCAAGTTGAAATAGCTTATTTCAGCCAAAAACTGAAATAAGCTATTTATCTAGCAGGAAGTCTGAGAGAGCACTCTTCCTCCTACTTCCCTTACTCATAAAATGAGGGTTACAGGAGTCGGAGTAAGAAGTCCTCCAGCTCGACATTATGCCAAAATAACTACTTGCATTGTAGATGTGGACTGTTCTTTTGGAATAATGTCAGTTATCCTATACATAGTAGCCCAATGTCTGTTAGTCTGTAATGCTGAAATGCTGTCTGTTCCCTCGGGGCGGCCTGTGCTGCATGGGGAGTGTGGGGTCCAAACGGCCGTTTGATCTCCCATGGCAGCCTGGCTGAGCAGCGCAGAACTCAGCTGAGCACCACAACGGGAGAGGAAGGAGGGTGGGGTGGTGATATGCGGCATGACAGCAGCTCTAGGCCCCGCCCCCTGGCTGTTACCATTACCTCCCCGCCCCCCTTTGCCTCCCGCTGTGGTGCTCAGCTAACTTTTGAGCCGCTCAGCCAGGCTGCCGCATGGAAGCAAGTGGCATAAGCAACCATTTGGGCTCTGCGCTCCTCATGTAGCACGGGGCATGCGGAGCCCAGAAAGCCATTTGGGTGCTGCAGTTCCCCGGGTGAGAGGCAGAAGGGGGAGGAGAAGAGAGACAGAGAGGCGCAGGAGAGAGAGAGAGAGAGAGAGACTGGAGGCTCAGGAGAGTAGACCAACATGGAGGAGAGACCTGAAAATCCCATCTTATGACAGGCTAATTGATTAGCTCTGAAATAAAACTGCTGTGTAGATGCACCCTAGTAGTTTATCCACCACTTAGGGGCAGTGGGCCTGAAGAGTTCCCTGTAAGATTGTCTTTTTTACCAATAGAAAAAAAGGCACTCATTGAGCTTGTGACACATGCTACATACAAATGTATACGGTTGGTATTGAATGTTAAATTATAATTGTAAATTCTAATCCATGGCCTGTGATCTTCATTGATTAGGAAAGATATGCAGAAGATATTAGCATTATGACTTTTTACATAATCAGAAATTAACACCCAGAATAAGCTGAGAAAGTTTAATTTACTATTTTATCTGGCAAGATTAAATAAAACAAACCAGGTTTTAAATCGGTTCAATTTGCAATAGCTCAGAGAGAAAGAATGAGATGTTCTTGTGAAGATGGGGCAATAAAAGAACAGCAGGTATAATGGTGTTGAGAATGAAACTTCTGGTTTGCCAACTTTTTTAAAAAACAATTTTAAAGAATTTAGGAGTAAAACTTATAATTTTATTCCAGTAATTCAAAAACTAGACTGAATTCTGCTCTTATAATACAAAATAGTTTGGCCCACCACAGCAAAGTTTCAGAATGGAAATTAAGAACATGATTCTACCAACCTTTCTTTAAGTGAATGATCTCTTTTCTTATGAGGATTACTCACATATCAACGATCTGTAGGACCAGATTCTAACAGAAAAACAGGGCAGAATATTAAGACCTCTATTTCTGTATAATTTCACACCCCGATTTGATCTGTTCTCTCAGTTTAAATTAGGCATGGCTATTCAACAGCCAAGTTGTCCATCATGGTTTATGTCCTCTCTCTTCCCCCAGATACCTCCTCCTATTTGGGCGGGCCATTTCCAACAGTGACACTTATAGCTTGGCTACCTAGAGCACTAAATGCCCTTATGGCATCTAGGAATAGGCAGAGTGAAGTTGTGCTTTAGCCAATACTCCAACCCTGCTTTGCCAGGGCACACCCTGAGATGGGTGTGGATGGGCAGAAGCATTACCTAGAGTCATTGGGCTACTTTTACACCACATTGGACTGTCAAGTGCCTAGATCCCCCAACTTTACTTCTTTGTACTCCAGGAGACTGTGGCACAATGGAAAAAAAATGAAGCCAGAAGTAACTTAAGATGCAGATACAAAACCATTGTCAGCAAGGTCAGTCAGGCCCCAAGCAGGACAAACTGCTCGCATGAAAGTGAAACTTCATGGGACAGTAAAGTCCTCTGATTTGAAGGCACCAGTAGTCTGCATTCATTGGGTCTGACATTTACACATATTACCACTATAGAAATTCTTTTGAAATAAGGTAGAACAAATTGTTCTTATGTTCTCTCTGATCTGAGCATGTAAAGAGGAAGATCACTTGACATCTACACCATTTCTTTACAAGCTGCTGTAGCTGAGACATTTTTAGATGAAATCTGAACTTGAGTATCTTCAGCTTCAGACTCGTGTCCATTTCAAAGAAGATATACTGCAAGGAATAAACATTCTTATTTTAAGCAAAATTAGAAACCAATTACTCTCTGGGTGGGGGATAGATCACAACAAAGTACTCTCTATGCACTGCAACAATGATATTTACTATATTTAAAAAACTCAATGTTTTAGTGACTCATTGCATGTGATTTGTAGTTTTCTTTTTATATTTACCTCTTATGAAATCTGACTATAACATGGCATACTTTGGAGAGTGAACAAATAGAAAGTAAATGCTGTCTAGATTCTAATTTCTTTATTGAAAGCATATTCCCTATATGAGTCAAGTTATTTTTACCAATGATTGCATGCAGTGGGTGCTTTTACCTTTCTTTTTCGAAGTGTCATTAAGAAAGTTCACATACTTTGGGCAGCAATAATTCAGGATACTATAAAGGATATCAAAAAAAGGGTGCAGTAAAACTAAATTTATTTTTCATTCACATATTGCTAACATTCAATAACCATGGTCTACTTGTATCCAAAGCTATTCAAACAGAGCTTAACAATTCCTAGTATAACTTGGAGACAACACATTTTAAGATGATTTATGTCCTACCCAGGTCAGAAGTAACTGAGTCAGAGATGAGTCAGACAAAGTAGCTACAGGCAATCCCAGTCATATGTATACTGTAGGTACTCCACAAATGATGCATTTTCACTGTTTCTATGACTATTGCCATCAGCACAACTTCAGAACTGTTGATGCCACCACATCAGTCCTGGAGGTCAAGGTTTATATTTAGTGTCCAAGAATGTCCAGGAATACCAATTATAACATATCATCTAAGTGAGTGGTCTTCTTAACAAAACCCTCAGTGTGTGTATTGTAAGAGTACCCACAGACCTCCATGTGTGTAACTGTTTCTATGACTATTGCCATCAGCACAACTTCAGAACTGTTGATGCCACCACATCAGTCCTGGAGGTCAAGGTTTATATTTAGTGTCCAAGAATGTCCAGGAATACCAATTATAACATATCATCTAAGTGAGTGGTCTTCTTAACAAAACCCTCAGTGTGTGTATTGTAAGAGTACCCACAGACCTCCATGTGTGTA